AATTATTTCTGACGAATAATTGTTGTAGCTAAGACTTTTAAACTTGATCTTCTTTCTTTCCCTTTACTATATTCAGACTCTTTACTTTCATTGATTTCGCAACCCCAACTTTACGCTTTAAGTAGGAAACCCTCACAAGTAAGTTTCATATACAAATCTTTTCTTTACTAACCAAAGCATCTAAAGAGGTTGATTTACTGTCCTTTTCTTCATCGTGAATTCAGTCCTATCTAATCTACTCAGTTACCTAAGGAATTTTTCCAAACTCTCTTTGCCTTGCTGCCAGATAGCAAAGTAATCATCTTTTCATGTGACCAACAAAATTAGAAGTGATGCTTGAATTAGTAGAAATTCTGGTTTAGTGTTTTGGCTGAATTTTTAGTAAACGATGGTTTCTTATTCTGACAATATCCATCACTTGATGGACGAAACCTTAACATGAATTCATCGGGGTCGTAGGACGATGAGCTAAATCCTTTGCACAATCCAGCCGTCGCATCTCAAAAGAAATCCTCCTTTGGTTTCTGGTGAGGCAATTTTACGAATCTCTTTCATCCGCCCTTTTAAGCAAAATCATTGGTTTAATGGCATCATTCTCTTAAGGGATTATTTAATCTCTTTTTAGAATGATTTATCTTATTTTTAGTTAATTCAAGTCAGTTTTCTCTTTGCTTACCGGTGTATTAGATAATTTAATTGATTCTTTTAAATCTTATCAAGAGGTTTTAGCCATTAGTTATAACATCAATATATCTCTATCCAATCATTGATTATATACAGTGGTCTAGCGCCCGTGCACTTTCGGACTGTTAGCTTAACATATTAACTTGATATTTAATTTACCTATTCTAAAATTTTACATTTATTTCATTTTGTTATTGCAATTTTTTCGCTTTATATCTTATGTCCTTTTTACTTTGATTCTTATTTATTTTGGTCCGTAAGTGGAGATATTTTATGTAATTATGTGAATAATTATAACTCTCCAACATTCATTAACATTCATTATTTTTATGCAAATTGCACTGTTTAGAATTTATCAAACTAAAGTGAGAACATATGGATTGATTGCTTAGGCATCAATTTTATTTATTCTTACAATTTACTTAAAAGTAATCTTTAATAATATCCCCTTACTGACGCATGTTCTACTTTTTTGTGTCTTAACTTTCTTTTTACATCTATGCACTTCAAATATTCAAGGTTGTTGAATATCTTCTTGAAAACGGTGCTGATGTAAATGCTCAGGATAAGGGTGGCCTGATCCCCCTTCATAATGCCAGTAGCTATGGTCACATAGATGTCGCTGCTCTTTTGATTCGCCATGGGACTTGTGTCAACGTAGTTGATAAATGGGGATATACCCCGCTGCACGAGGCCGCTCAAAAATGTAGAACTCAGCTATGCGCGCTCCTTTTAGCCCACGGGGCCGACCCCGCCTCTCGGACTCAAGAGAGTAAGCTCTTTCTAGTACTGTTTCTTTTACTTAATTTACTTGATAGACAAAAAGCTTGTTGAGATATTTGTAAATATGTAGGAATATTCCTTCATCAATGCGTTCCCTTACCAAGCACCTGTTTATTTATTTTTTAAAAATTAATCTATCTCTGTTGCATTTAATATGACCTCCTGCGACCCTTACTTTTTCCTGAGCGGATTTTTTAATTAAGTTTAAGTGTAAACTTCCGTGCAAACAATTCTCACTTATTCCTCGCACTACCAAGGCGTATCAGACCACACAAAGTTAAATCAAAATTTTTGGACTTTAGTACATCCTGCGAGGATAAAGGTATGAACCAAAAGGAGCCTATCTCTTTTTAGGACATTGTTTATTTGGATAAACTCTATCCTAAATATAAACTGCTCGCTAGTTGTAATAAGTCCTTTACGGTGGCAACGTAATGCATCGCGTAGAACTTTTCAGACAATTCGAATAACTAATTCATATCCTATAATAATACCATAGACCTCACCCCTGACCTGACAGCACTTTTTCGCTTCACTCTTCAATGTTGAATTTTGAGGCACTTTCTGCACCACAAGCAAATAACAAGTAAAAGGGACCTTCATTAATTCAAACTGTCATTCACAAATGTCCATTAAAGTAATAAGGAGTTTAATTTAAAGTGGCTCTTCTCACTTTCTTCTGGCACTTCAAATACATTTAGCATGTTTTTATTTTATAACTACATTGTTAACAGTATATAAATATTTTTAGATTTCTCCGTAACATCTGTTTGTGAAACAGCTTAACTAGGAAGTGGTTATTTGCTTTCATTAACAGTTAACCAACTGTTTAATTTCTAAGCTATCCTTTTTTATAGAAGTTGTTTGACCTTGTTTTCGCAACTTGGTCATAATGGTAGGAAGACTGATA